CGGGTGGCCGCCCGGCAGCGCCCACACGGGGCCCTACGCGGCCGCCGGGGCCGGCCGGGGAGCCCGCTGGGAGGAGCCCCGCGATGTCGGGGGTCCCGGAGCCCCCGCCGTGCGGCGGAAATGCTGTCCGGGACCCCGCCGGCCTGTGGCTGGAGCTCGGGCCCTCCTGCCCCGAAGCGCCGCGCTGCCCCAGCGAGTCGAGTGGCCCTACTAGCGGCGACCTGGGCACAAGCAGCGGCGGCAGCAGCAGCACGGGGCTGTCCCCCGGTTCCGACTCGGACAGCAGCGGCGTGGTGTGCGGCGGCCGCGCTGCGGGCATGCGCGGCGCCCCGTCGCGCTCCCGGAGCTTGGAGAGCCTGCGCTCGGCCTCCGCGGGTAAGGGCGCCGACTGCTCGCCCGCGCCCCCGGGCCTCACCGCAGCCTCCCTCTCGCCCTTCTCAGCCTCCCTTCCCATCTCCTGACCCCCGCCTCCCCACGGCTTTGCCCTTCTGCTCCCGCCTTTTGCTTATGGCCGCCCGACCCCTGTCCCTTCTCTGACCAGCTAATAGCAGGGGGCTACTTGTTTGCCGCGTCCCAGCAGCGGCAGCTGCCGAAACCGGTGCTTACGATGAGGCTGGAGGGTGGTTCGTCTAGACCCCTTCTTGACCGTCTGCAGCCTCTTGACCCCTTTTTGGGTGGGGGAGCGTGTGAGCCTGAGTCTCAGAGGGAGGCGCCTACCTGGGTGCTCTGCAACAAAAGTGAAGTTTCTCCAGATGGGATTCTCTGTGTCTCCCTGTGCCATGTGCCCCCTAGCGCTCCCGGTGTACCTGAAGGACAGGGCTCTAGGTAACCAAGAGGGAGGAAGAGTTTGGACCTCGCTGCGGAGCGAGGAAGTCCAGAGCGACTTCATGGATGGTGATCCTTTATCTTTGGCTAGATGTTGGCTTGGTTTCTTTATAGTGTCGCTTTTGAGCCCTCAGCAGTGTGTGCTGTGAAGGAGGACTGTCACTGTTGGTAGGGTGCCCAGTTAGTCCTTGCTCAGCAGCGCTCCGCTTGAGGAGGATGCCGGCCCCACCCAGGTCTAGGGATGAGACTGAAGTGTGCATCGAAGCCAGACGGGAGCAAAGGAATCACAAGCAGGCGACAGTGCCCCGCCCGGTCGCCCCCATTCCCCCACCCCCAGGATCGAGCAAGGACTATGCTACACCAGAGCTGTGAGACCCTGAGGGACATGAACCTCTTACCGGAGTTAGTAGACTTGGAAGAGGGAAGAAAATACGCACAGACTTTTGTTTTCAGTACTCCAGGACTCCCATCTGTACTCTCTCAAAAACAGACACACGACGTTCAGAAAAGTCTGATAGCCTGAATGTTCGTGTCTGCAGCAACACATTTCCTAGTTTCCACTGTGATGGCTCCTATCCCTTGATGACGCCCCCAGAAACCGTGTGTCCTCCTCTTGAGCTTAAATAGAGCATTTTTGAGCACTAGTAATGCCCTAAGCAAATAATACCCTACGAGAGACTTTAAACAGTTCGGCCAACAGCCCTTCCCCTGATTTTACCTCAAAGAGCATTTGTCTTTGGGGGTTGGAAGGCACACTTCCTGGGCCTCCAGAACCAGACTCTCTTCTTTGACGACCCAAGCGCGCTGAGCCCCCATTCCCTTTTCTTCCTGTCCCAGGATATGTGTACCCTGTAAGGCAAAATGGGATAGCAGAGATGGCGGGGTCCGTTAGGAAGCCCGGGGTCCGAGGAAGCCCGAGGCTAGCCTGGGCCCTGGGGCGGGGTGATGACTCTCAGAGACAGAAGCGACATCTATGTGAAGGTCAGGAGTGGGGCACGAGGTAACACATGCCTCAGGGCTGCTTCTTGCTTCGGAGCTGTCCCACAATTGGGACAGCAGAGTAGAGACAACATCATGCTTCAGGGTTGTTTGAGACCCGGAAGCAAATGCCAGAACCGCCACATGACACAGGACCACTGAGGTGCCCGGAAAGGCATCTCTAGGTATACAGACAAGACAGCACACTCGGGCAGCATCCAGAGGTACTGGGCAAGGAATCGCTAGTCACTTTCACATCCTTCCTGCCCAACTTCCATCCTCTACTCCCCGTTCCCTGCTGAGGTGGTTAAAGTCTTGCCTGACCAGGAATGGGCGCTAAAATCAAAAGGTCCTGCCAGGCATGATGGCGCACACCTTTGCTCCCGCACCCGGAAAGCAAGAGGCAGGCGGATCTCTGTGAGTTCCAGGCCAGCCTGGTCTACAGAGTGAGCCCAGGATGGCCAACGGTACACAGAGAAATCCTGTCTTGGAGAAAAGAAAATGAATTAGAAGGTTCTTCTGTGCATGCTGTGGATTTGTGTGAAGCTTTGCCACCGGCAGTGTTTGTCATCTGGGCAGATGTGGCCCGGATCACGGAGACAGCCACAGAACTGAGTGAGTTAATTCTCTTTCCAACCTGCAGTGTGGCTACCGATGTGCCATCCTTGGGGAAAACTGAGAAAACAAGCCCTTCGGCAACTCTCTGTAGATTTTCAGGGGGGACATCGGGGTGGAGAGAGAGTGCTAGGGAGGAAGCCTGGATGGGAACAGGAAATTTGCGTGTGTCAAGCCCTGAACATGGTCAGAGGGTGGCGGTGACTTGCCCTGTCTGAACTGTCTCAGGTCTGGGTTGATGCGACGTGATGGGTCACCATTGGAAGCAGGCTTGGTGTGCGCATTGCAAGAGTGTTCTGGCAGCTCACACATTCTCCATGCTTAGGAAGTCAGCAGTTACAGCAAAACAGAACTTAAGAATCATAGGTCTGTGTGCATCTCTCAAATGAGGAGAAATACAATATCAGGATGGAGGAGACAAGCAAAAAGATGGGGGAGGACTTTTTAATGTGTGTGTGTGTGCGTGCTCTCGTGTGCGTGTGCATGCTCTCTCACGCATGTGAGCTCACAAGTGTGCGTGTATGCATATGTGTCTTTCATTAGGACTGCTTACAGGATCATGGGTACAAGGTTATGAGTACTTTACCAATAACCACAGCACTGAAAAAAAAATGTTTTCCTTCATCAACCATTAGCTGCCTATAGTTCCTCACTTCATGACTCCCTCCCTGCTTTGGGTTTTTCATATGGGAGGTGGTAGGCAACATCATGGTTTACCCTGGTTGTTGGTGCTCTCAAACTAAACAGATAAATTCCCTTGGCCCCCTGCTCTGGTCAACACCGGCCTGGCCTGGTCCCTTCAGTATGATGTTCATTTGGTCACTGGTTTTCTTCAGTAGTAAGACTAGAGAAAAATACAAATGAATTACAAATGCTCTTAGGATTAAAATAAAATGTCTGATACACATCAGTTACTTTCTGTATCTCTGTGACAAAACACTGGATGGAGGCAAGCTAAAGGTTATCTGGGTCATAGTGTCAGACAGATGTTGCTGGTCAGACCGATGTCCTGGTGGGAAGGTGATTTGGAGGCCATGGCAGTGAAATGTGTGGTTGAGCCTTCTCATGTCACAGCTGGCCAGGAAGCAAGCAAGCAGGCTGCAAACAGTGGCCAGCTACAACCTTCACAGCCCCCCACCCCTGAGGAAACACTTCCTCTGGCCATTTTGTACCTTCCGAAAGACTCCATACAGTTCAGAACAGCTCCACAAGCCACTGACTGAGAGTCCACGACATGAGCTTTTGAGGGACACTTCATTTCCAAGCCTGTCTCAGTAAACTCTGTGACACCCCAGGGGCTGGTATTTGTTGCATGCTGTTTTCTGTTCAGTTGTTTGGCTCTGTGTGACAAAGCCTTCCCTGAAGGAAGATGATTGCCAGGAATGGATTCTTAGCAGATCCTTAGCTTCATTTCTGGGACGGGGATGTAGCTCAGTAGACAGTGTCCCCGGTCTTCCTACGGAGACTCCCCCTAGAGACATCTGAGAACAGAATGTATTTTCACTACCCCCGCCCCATCTTGTCTCGCTCCCCTCATCTCCCCTATCCCTCCCCCTAGCCCGGTAGCCTCCAGCGCTCTCAGCTGTCACTTCCCTGTCACTCAGCCTTGGCTTTTTCATCCCTGCCCTGGATGTATCATCCGATGAACATAATTTGCAGTCTGGGCTGGGCAGGTTGGGTGCCTCCCTTCCTGGGCTTTTTCCTGGCTTGTGTTGTGTGATTTCTTCTGAGGAGAGGGAACTCACACTTCTTCAGGAGTTGTTCTGCAGCCTTCAGCTGCGTGCCTGGCCCTTGCTTGCTGACACATCTGTGGTGGAATTAACACCCACGCAGGGCACACTGTAGACACTAGAGGATGACAGAACCGTTGCTTGTCCTCAAGGGAATCCCAGCGCAGCTGAGAGTGATGGCACACAGCTGTATCCTAGCACATAGGAAGTTGAGACTATAAGACTGAGAATTTGGGGACAGCCCTGAGCTTCATTGAAACCGCATCAGAAGGGACTAGATCATCACTTCTCCACCAGCTCCTTTTGCACCTGTTGTGGTGTGAATGAAAAGTGTCCCTCACAGGTTCCTGTATTTGAATGCTTGGTTCCCAGCTGGTGGTGCCCTTTGGATCAGTTGGGGGAACTCTTGGGATGTGGAACCTTGCAGGAGGGAGTATATGCCAGTGAGGTGGCTTTTGAGAGCGCACAGCCTTGTCTCCTGTCCTGCTTACGCTTCCTGCTTCCTGTGGGTTGGTTAAGAGGTCATCTCAGCTTTCTGCTGCGCTGCTGTCCCAGCCACATGGGCCAAAGTGAACTCTTCCTCAGCTTTTCTTTGTTAATAGTATTTTGTCATAGCACAGAAAAGTAACTAATACAGCGCCTTTTTCAAAAGCCCGATAGAAGTGTGCTCCTCCCATTTGCTCTTGTTCAATATGATTTCAGTTATTCTGTGTCTTTTGAAATCTTTTTATGTATATTTCCAGTTAGCCTGTGAGGCCATTTATGTTGAATTTGTAAGAGAATTTAGGAAAAGCTAAATTCTTGACGCTATAGGATCTTCCCACTTACAGGCATCTGAGAGTGAGAAGCCAAGCCAAGAACTCTCTGCCGGATGCCAACTGTAGCACCTATACATTTTTGTGAATTCCATTTGCTTTTGGTTCTGATGTATAAGTTCCAAGTACTTAAACTTCATTTTAAAATATTACGTTTATTTATTTATTTTTGTGTGGAGGTCAGAGAACAGAACCACAGGAATCTTCTCTCTCCTAGAATCCCAGGGGTCAAACTCGGGTGTTTAGATTTGGCAGTAGACACCTTTACAGAGGAGCCATGTCAAGGCCGGAAGCCTTCGTTTCTTGATGTTTCTAAAATACTCTGTGATTTCCGAGCCTGCTGCGAAATCTCTGTGGCTTTCCTTTCTGGTCTGTAGAGCTGGGGACCTGTGAGCCAGGAGTGAGGCCAAGC